GCTCACATCAACCTAATAGCAGTATTAACAAGCTGTGCACTGGTGGTAACACAATTCCGTGACACACTCTTCCATAACTGAACCTTGAAAAGTAAATCATCCAGTAAACTGTTTACTTATTATATTTGTTGCATTGATTTTCCTCCGTTTGAGGCCATTTTGTTGCCAACAGTTAATGACTGCATGCTTTTCTTTAAAGATAATCAATAGAAACACAACCATAAAGCAATAACAAGCAGACCTGCCTCTCTTTTGTAACAGTTGTTCTCACAGCCAATAAGACAACATAAGTCCTTTATGTAAGATTCTTTGGAAAAAAAAATAATTATACCCTCGTACTAATTCCTTTGAACATGCATTAAGCCTAACATCAGATGCACCTGATTAAAAGATAATCACTCAGCATTCTGTGGGATTTTTGCCTTGTTAAAATCAAAGATATAAGCTGTTGTTTTCCACATCCAGCAGCATGTCCATATCTGACCATCTAAAGAAGTTCAACCTGAGAGCTGCACTGCAAAAATTATCTGAAATTAAGTAAAAATGTCTTAATTCAAGTATATTTACCCTTAATTTGAGCAGGTAAATAAGATAGTTTGCCAATGGAATGAGTATTTTTACACTTAAAATAAGATAATTAGAAAATATGCACTTGAAATAAGACTAAGAAATAGTTTTTTTCTTATTTCAAATGTAAATTGTCTTGTTCCATTGGCAAAGTGTATCACTTAGATCCTCAATTTAAGAAAAAATGCACTTGTTTTAAGAAAAAATGACTTATTTAGATTTACATTTTTTTGCAGTGTGGAAGTAAATGCTCGAAATCTCCTGTAAAAAATGGTTAAAATGTCATAACTTGCAACCTGTTTCTTCTGACAATATGAAAGTGCATTCTAGTCCAATGCTTGGGAAAAACTCGAGGCTGTCTGTAAAAAAGAAATATAAAGCTAAAACAGAGTTGTACCCTTTAACATAATATTAACATAACATGATAAGATAGGGTCTAAGTCAAAGTCCAGACCTCGTTCCCTTTGAGATCTTTCCTCAGACTGATCCCAGTCATGATGGATAGCCACTAGAAGCGTCTAGTCAAAGGTAGGAAGTTGTGCATAGGATGCATAAATTAGTCCTGCACTAGGACCACACATTTCGCACTGATGAAATGTTAATCGTGTTCAGAGGGCTCGGTAGTGCTTGTTTACAGCAGCCATGGTGCCCGAGGGCAGCTCCGGCAACAATATATCAGACAGCATGGGATTAATTACAGCTGTTATTCTGATAATACTCAGTTTTATTTCTCCATAAATCCAAATAAGAGTTAACACTAGTGTATGGTGTTAGCTGGTGACTATAAAATTGTGTTAGCTAAATTCAAACCTGATAAGTGTTGGATTTAAACTATAAAGAGTGTTTTATGTACTCTCTCAGTGTGAACTGTTCAATACTTTTAAAAGTGTAACTTAAACTTTATCTAATGTGGACCAATGTAGAAACTTTAAATGTGTTGAATTTACCTCCATAGGATTTTAGATAACTTCCAAATTTACTCTGTAGATTTGTATTGTTTGGGTTCTATCATTAAATCAAATTATTTACCATAGATTAAATAAAATAACAATAACTCACTTAAACACATGAAAAATTTCTAAATAAAGGATAAATATTTGATTGTTTCACATGTCAGTGTGGTTCTCTCAGCTTTCTCCCTGCTGATGATGGGATATGACTGATGCAGAGTTAGATGATCGATCTGTGCATAAATATAGAGTTATTGGTTTATGTTCTGAGTTTATATTTTAAAACTAATAAAAGTTACTTCTCATAATCGTAAAATTTGCATCCAACAACACTTCACAATGATCTAAAAGATGCCTAAAATGTCAATATCTGTCATGATTTAACTAAAGTCTGACCCAAAAATAGAAAACCAATACAGAGAGAGATCAGGGGAAAGTTTAACATGTTGATTGAGGAGATTGTGAAGAGTCTAGTATTGCTCTGAACACTGCTCAACCGGAACTGGAAGGTGAGGGGAAGATACTGCGGTTAGTTCAGGCTCGGTGGGAAAATTGATTCTCGAACTTGAAGAAGAGAAATAGATTGTAGACTCACGTTTCCAGATAAGTGGTTGACTCTATGACTTCTGTCTGTGTGCGGTAGTTCCAGTGTTTGTCTCATTCGATGGAGGGCGGACAGGGTTTACCCAGAAGGCGGTTGTTTGTAGGTGAAGGGAGAAACTGACTGCCACTTAGATTTCCTGCGGTACTTGAATGGGTTGTTGTGGAGATGAATCCCTTGCTCATTGTGAAGCTCAAACGATCTCTTGGAGGAACGTGGATCCAAACCTCCAGTTTGAATCCTCAGCTCAGTTTGAAGCTCAGATGATCCTTCCAGGGAGAGAAGGTCCAGAACATCCAGTTTGCAGGATGACTTCCTGCCGAGAGGCAAAGACAAAATAACAAGGTTAAGACTCAGGTTTACAAAAACTCAGTTTGACTCAGCAAAACTCAGCTTGGCTAGAGTACAGTATCCAAAACTGGCAAACACTCTGGCCTCGAGGTAGTGGCAGTCAGCAGCTTAAGAGCGCTCCGTTAACGAGGTAATCATCTGCAGGTGTGTGAGGAGGCGGACCAGAACCAGGCGCCTCCTGGTGGAGGAAGGGAGACAAACACAAAAACACAAACACACAGACAGGAATCCTAACAATATCAGGATATGTTTGGTTTGTCTTGGTTTGTGACTGTATTTGCTATGTTACACAAATCAAAACTACTGAACAATTACATGATACAAAGTGACATTTCAAACTCCTGGGTGGCTGAAAACACCTGACATGTCTTTGATTCACCCACACTGTTATTTGGCCTTGACAGACTTGTTTGCGGCTCTTTGTGGGCATTGAAACGCAGGACGTTCACCCAGGGCAAGATAGCTTTACAAGTCCGATGATTCCTGAATGCAGCTCTTCTCCATAAACATATGCTGGATTCTTTCACTTTATGTTATGTGTTTCATGATGCAACATTCAGAAGGAAGAAATCTAAAATAAAAGCAGAATTATACACCTTATTCTACTTCTAAAAATGGATAAGAAGTCACATCACACTAACTTGTACTTTGAACCATCAGAGATTACCGTAGTTAGAGTCAAGTTTATGGGAGGGCTTGTTGACAATTACTTATCACCTAAAAATGAAAAGTTTTGATGAATAATTTTTATCCTTAAAGAGTCACATAACAATGGAAAGTATGTTTGGTACAAAAACAACCTCCCCTGCAGGGACTGGGAAGCTGGTCAGAGTTGATGGGAAAATAGATGGAGTTAAAATCCAGGATATTCCACTTATTGGCTTCTAAAGACTTGACTTGGGTTGGACCCAAAGCCCTAGAAGGGAGACTAGGAAGCTGGAGATTAAGATGGATTTTAAATTTCAGTGTCACACTGAGGACAAGCCCTCAACCAAATAGAAATGGCTGACAGTCGGGGCTGGACAAAAGCCTCAGTGAAGGCCTGAGCAAAACTTGATTTTGGGACCCACTGCTGTACAGCAAAGCAAGTGTTTTTATTGAGCACATATCAGTTGCATGACCTTTAAAAATACTGTGCAAGAGAAAATAAAAAGAAAAGTACATTCGGTTGCACAGAGGCAACACAAATAAAGAGTGAAAAGAAAAAAGTGACACATTGAAATAGAAGGATTACATTAAAAAAGCATTAAAAAAAGATAAAATTATAAAGAAAATGGAACAAAAATTCGGCTGGAAAGTTAACTGATAATGTTTGGATGGCACGGTCAAAGGGCCCTCTGAAGAAAAATAGGAGCTTTACAATAACCATCAAATCCATCATTTAAAAACGGTAAAGAGACCATTTATTAATGATTTACAGATAGTTTATTAATTATGAAATGCATCTAAACCATTTATAAAAGGTAAATAAATGATTCATTTAATGTTAGATTAAAAATAAAAGCTAGGTTCTGGTCTTAATACCATAGGGTTAAATGAACATGTCAGGGTAATATGATCTATTTACCTGGCCCCAAGATCAACAATCTGTTTTTTCATGTATCAACAATGACTTCTACACTTTTAAAGATAGGCTGATGTGAAAATGCATAATTCTATAATGAAATAGATTTTTTGCAAAGAAGTTTAAATAAAAACCTTGCATAAAAAAAACCCAAATAACAATAGTTAATTGCTGTTGGGGCCCCTAGTTCCCTTTGGTCCCTAAGCAGCTGCTTTGCTTACTTGTTCCTTGGGTTGGACCTGAACACCTTTGAGGTCACCTAAAGAACGTTGGTGGCAAAAGATCCCTTAAAACATCAGATTTTGACAACATACAGTATACAAAAGAAATTATTAAATATTCAATTAAAAATGTAAATGATAAAATGTAAACCAAAAATGAGCACCAGAAGAATATTGAAAGATCGATTCAGTTTATTGCAGTTTTTATTTTCTTATTTCCCCCTGACTAAATTATTTTCAGTTAAATTTACAGTTTATTTTAATGGTAAAACAAAATTGTAAAGTTTTCTTTTTTTTTTTTAACCAACACCTATAATTCTACACTGGAAAACCAATCTAGAACTAAGTAAAAATATCTTTAATTAAGTGTATTTAGGTAAAGTTGTAAAGTTGTTAAGTGTATGTAGGTAAATGAGATAGTTTGCCAATGGAATGAGTATTTTTACTCTTAAAATAAGATAATTATATAATATGCACTTGAAATAAGACAATGCAATTGTGTTTTCTTATTTTAAATGTAAATTGTCTTGTTCTATTGGCAGAAAGTCTCTTTTATCTCCTCAATTCAAGAAGAAATGCACTTATTTTAAGAAAAAATGACTCATCTAGATTTAAATTTTTTCCATTCTAACATGATCCTCTGAACATATTAAATAGGTGTTATCCCCCTCATGGGTTTATACAACTCTTCATAAGGAATGACATGTGCAGCTCCACTCTGATCCGTTCACTCCCTGTTTTCACAGGGAGAAGTTTCAAGCTGAACTAACCCCACCAGAACCTGAAGTGGACTATAGCTCTACAACTCAGAGGGATTTCTGTGTCTCAGGATTTGTTCCCAGCAGACCAAAGTCGAAGCATGTATGTGTTGAAGTTCCTGCTTGATCGTTAGTGACGTCTGTAGGATTTTTCTGCTGAATATCAGATAACTATTATCAGCTTAAATGAACGAGAACCTTTCTGTATTTCACCATCCGGATGTTTGGGTGAATGCCTTGTTTGATTTGTTCTCTCTTGTTTCCAGATGCACGATTACAAATTTGAGCAGGCCATAACATTTTGGAGTGAAAACTGCCAGAAGATACAGGTTTGTCAGCCTTCTGATAATAAAGAATCAATAACTTACTGTATGATCTGTGATCTTAGTGGTGTAAAAGACACCTTGAAGCCCTCTTGCTCCAGTTATTTTCCTGAGAAGAGATCACTCATGACAAACTCTTTAAATAACACTTCATAATTCATATATATTAAATAACCATGAGACACGAAAAGAGATTTTGACGGAAATTGTAATCTTACTCAGACCAGAGAAGTTACGTAGAGTTACAGAAGGCAGGGCGGGCTCCCATCTCATTGAAAAGGCCCTAAATCACAGTTAGAGAAGCATTTTATAGAACTCCAGTCTGCCACATCATCACATCCTAACATTATACATGTTTACAGATAAGGAGACATTCATGGCTTCAGCCTCCTCAAACTATTACAGTGTTTTTAGATCCAGGACATTCCTCTCATTCCATTCCCAAATCTTTGCCACGTTCATAATGAAGATGACTTTTTTATCCCGACAGAGAAACTGTCTGAATCAGATTAACTACTTGGGAAAACATCTGTTTGTCTTTGTTTTAGCAAAAGGGAATAAATATTTTACAGGGTTCCTGTACATCATCCATCCATCCATGCAGCTGACCGTTTTACTGTGTAACACACTGCAAGTTTAAATTAATAGCTATGAGTTCCAAAAATATGTTGTTTCATATTTACATATGCAGTTTTTTTTTTTACTTTATTCAAGTGCAAAACCACTGAGATTTAAGAGCTTATGGAGAGTTTTTCAGATAAGAGTGACACAAAATGTAATACTTTCCTTAAACTTTTGGATATTTTCCATCCATCCACTGTCTGTACATCCTTAGTCTGTCATTAGATGAAACCCAACATTCAACCTACACAGATTTATTTATAATTTTGTCAAATCAAAACCCCTTTTTTGACCATATTACTGAAAATGTTCTAATTGGTCTTTATTGATTAAAAAACATCTCACTGAAATCATCAGTGATGTATGT